GTTCATCGACTTCCATTTAAAGCCCTCGATCCTCCCTCAGATTGGCATGCCTCAACGTAAGCATATTGTTACAAATCAGTCAACAGGCAGCACTTGCCCGAACATTAGAGACCCTCTCCATCGATATCTGCTGCTTATCGGAGACCCGCCTCCAAGACTCGAGCTCTGTACTCACTCTGAGATTCCCTTCAGGTGACACTAGCAGCACTTTCTCACTGCAACTATCAGGTAACGATGCGGGTTCGAGCACCGGCCAAGCTGCTGTTGGTATCGCCCTGAGTCCCCAGGCTGAAGATGCTCTAGTCGACTGGATTTCAATCAGTAGCCGGATGTGTGCGGTACGATTGGTTGGCAAGTTCAAAGCTTCGAAGTCGCGTGGGGCTAACAGGTGTCTATTCGTCATCGCTGCCTATGCACCCACAAACTCTAGCGATGATTCGGTAAAAGATGACTTCTATCGTCAATTGAATGAGCTCCTTCGCCACAGAAGAAGCTGGCTGGGGATCTGAACGCTTAAGTTGGAAAGTTATCCACTGATGAACTGCATCTGGGCGGCCAACATGGTGTAGGCTCCCGTAATGATAACGGTGAGCCGTTACCTCACTTGTGTGAAGATGCTCGCTTATTTCTTGCGAGCACCAATTTCCGACATAGCACCAGCCGGATGGTGACTTGGCGCCCACCAGCCTCGAACCAGCAATGGACGCAACTGTCGCTCGATTTGGAGCATACGTGTGGACACCAACCATGCTCTTCTATGTGTTGACCTGCGCATGCGATTTGGAGGACGCCCACGATGACGTTGTGACCGCACTGACATCAGCCAACTGACGAAGCCAGCTGTTCTGAATGCGTATCAAAGTACGCTGTCATGCGAGTTGGATGAACGCTCACTGGATGCAATTGAAGTTCACTGATCTCATTTTCACCAGACCTGACTAGCAGTAGGAAAATCCTTAGGCGGTAAGTCTAATCGCTAACATGGACAATGGGTCTCTTCACAGTCTTCGGAACTTATTGATACTAGCCGGCATATTCCGACTGGAAGCGAACACAATGAAACTCGCAAAGAGCTCCGGGCAAAAATACGTGCTAGCCTGAAGAGAGACCGTGAATCCTGGTGGTCTAATCGTGCATCAGAGATGGAAATGGCCGCTGCCCGGGAGTTATTCCGTCTGATATGGGAAACGGGCAGCAGAATACATGGTGTTAGTGAAACTATACGTGACGAAAGTGAACAGCCTATCCACAACTTGTCAAAACATTTGGAGCTTTGAGCTGAGCACTTTGAAAGGCAATTTAATCGGTCGGAATTGTTAGATTTCTCTCCGGCCACTGATCTCTTTGCTGCGTGTGCTGTCAGTTTGGATCCACTCTCTCGCTCAGAAGTCGAACGTGAGATCGCACTGTTGAAGTTAAATGAAGCCTCAGGACCAGATGATCTATCTCCAGCCCTATTCGAATTCGAGGGACCTGCTCTTGTGGATGATTTAGACGTGTTACTAGTGAAACTGTGGGGGCAGGAAACTGTCCCAACCGACTGGAGCCGCTCCATCATAGTCCCAATTTTAAAGGGAGGCTCACGATCGGAATGCGGCAACCATAGAGGAACCAGTCGGATTTCCATTGCCTCCAAATTGCTTACCTCTGTTATCCTTCATAGACTGACTAGCACTCATGAAAGTCATATTCGTGAAGAGCAAGCCGGGTTTCGTGGAGATCGTGGCTGCATTGACTATATCTTCTCTTGCGTCAATTGTTGGAGCACCGTCACATATACTGGCGGCCCACCGTTGTCGTGTTCCTCGATATTAAAGGTGCATTCGATTCGGTGGATAGACGTGCACTTTGGGACCCTCTACTCAGGAAAGGTGTATTTGAGAAATATGTAAATATTATCCGAGCATTATACGTGCGTAGCTCAGGTAGTGTGAGAGCTTACGGCCAGCTCTCGCCACCCTTCAAAATCTCCATCGCTGTGAGACAAGGATGCCCTCCGTCACCTTTCCTCTTCAATTTTGCTATTGACGAAGTCATGGAAATCGCGCTCACATGACATGACTTGGACAATGTGGATCTGCCCCCAGGAGAACGACTTCTTGACTTAAAGTATGCCGATGATATTGCCCTAATGTGTGACAGCTCCCGTATGTGTCAAGCTGCACTGGACAGATTAGCACTGGCTGTCAGTCGCTTCCGGCTTTGTACCATCGAAGTGCAAAGCGTTCCTCCAAGATTGGCCTGGAGCGCCTCCTGAGCTGACCCTTGGTTGGTGGGGATCAGCTAGAAGTCGTTCAAAACTTCCCCTACCTGGAAAGTTGTATAAGCCTGCGTGGGATTGAAGATATCACGAACCGTCTATCAAAAGCTCGAGGCGCATTTGCTAATCTTCGTTACTTGTGGCGCCGGCGCGACATCACTCTCGTCCTGAAGGGTAGACTGTACAATGCAGCGGTACGTTCGACCCTACTGTACGGTTGTGAAACCTGGCCCCTTACATCAGCGGAGATAAAGAGGCTAGTTAGGTTCGACTACCGATGCCTTCACAATTTAGCTCATGTGTTGGGAACACCGCGTGAGCAACGAGCGTTTTTGACGCCTTGTTAACGGCATAGCAAAGGGAACTGAACCGCTCAGTACCGTTATTTCACGCAACAAGCTCCGATGGCTCGGCCAGGTGTCACGCATACCACTCCACCGACTCCCGCGACCTGCGTTGTTTGCGCGCCGGGGGTGTGGATGGAAGTAGATGAGAGGTGACCCAGCGATCACTTGGTAGAGAGGAATGGAGGCCCTCACTTCGAAGCTGGCCTCAGTTGGAGCGTCCCGGCTCCCTGGTCGGGGTGCGGAAGACAGTGAACACGCTTGCCTGGATACATTTGTTGATATGGCTAGGAGCCGACCACAGTGGCGTTCGTGCTGTGAATTTCTTTGTCCCACCCCATCCCCACCAAACACGACCTCATTATTTAACAGGTTATAATTTTGCATACGAAATTACTTTTTTGCTGCATATTAGCCGGCAGATAGCTTACCAGAACGATGCCCAACCATTACCAATAGCTCAGCTGGCTTGCGCCTGTAGCATTTTATTCCCTTCTTTTCTTTTATGTATTGCGGCATAGTAGCTGAGGTGTTTCCCACCTCTAGCCAACGTGTATAGTGTGTGGTGGTAGAGCACTTAAGGTGGTGGATCACTGGACTACGGCGCGTGGATGATCACGAGTTTATAAGGCCTCTGGTCGGATGAGGTTGACCTTGGTTTGGCTAACTGTTGACTTACAGAAGTTAAACGCGCAACATCCCTACGTAATTTCGTTCTTTGTCCTTTCCACTGGTCTTCAGCACTCAGACTTTCACCTGCTGGGACATCAGTGCTCGCTGGACACAACAAAGGTAAACCATTTAAGCCAGATGAGACTGGGCTTCCCACAAAGGTTGGACTTCGTACCGGTGGGTTTGTACGGCTAGAGGAGGAAGACTGAGCTGAAAACTGAAGACTCTTAGGGCTAGGTTGTTGGGCCAAACACACGGAGCTGTTCACAACGGAATGATGAAGCCTATACATCGGCTTTACTCGGCAGTTTTCACATAAAGTTTGAACGAAATCGTGTTAGAGTTTACAGACGATGAAAATGCTCAAATGATAATCCAACACATGAAATGTGGTATTTAACTTGGCACAAAACACATGTGAGGGCATTTGCACGGTATCCGACTATCTTGGAACGAGTATCACAAGGTGATTGCTTCGGCATTGTGAATAATCCGAAAACAAGACAGCGGCCAATTGCTGGAGAAAATGGCGATAGCAAGAGCGCCGAAACCAAGCGATGAAAACACAAGCATTTCTGGGCGAAAAATTTGGAATCAGAAATGTGACTGAATTGTATCTAAATAAATTTCCATGGAATACTTCCAATGAACAAAGAAATCCAACACAAAGTGATCTTGTCAACAGCCAAAAAATAACCGACAGTAGGCCGGTGACCCCCAGAGCATGACGATTAAGCCTTTGGCAAAAACATTAACGACGATCATAGTAAAGTGTTACAAAACCTTTCAATAGTTAGCAATCTTATATCCCATAATTTCACAAGTGGCGGAGACTCTGGAAAGATAAGCGACGCCTACCGATAACTGTACTAAAATTTACGGCGATGCGACCAGCAGAACAAACCAATTAAATGAAAACGAAATTTAACCAGCTTAAAAAACCTAGTTCAAGTGTAAGCTGGTTTAGCCAACTACGGTGAAGTAGCATCAATAATGCACAACCTCAGCCTCAGCATGGGGACCCGGTAGCCAAGGGGTAGAAGTTCCGGTTACTATTCCTATGGCCGCGGGTTCGAGGCCTGCTATTAGCACCTGATTATATATATATATATATATATATATATATATATATGTATGTATAATTTTCAGGATATAGGGAGATCGATGTCCACTGCGCGTTATCACAGATCTGCATAACCTCACCTAGAAAGCGTACTTGTTGAGTAGCCGAAAATTATCGGTTTAAGGCGGGACCGTTTGTGCGAGTGACACTTGTATACCTTTTTAGGTTTCCAATGTTACAAGTTAAGGATGTTGCGGATGTGATCTCAGTGCATCCGCAGTCAATAATGGGAAATGCGGAAAATGCACCCATCCGAGTACACGAAGCTCATCTTGAAAATATTGGATCTACACAAGACGTCTTTTGGTCTCATCAATAAACAGCAAGGACAGATAACGGCATCGCACTCCAGTGTAGTTAAGAGAATCGAGTTATCATAAGTAATTAAGATGAGAGTATGAAAACGTAGGGTAGATGTATGACTATATGGAGCAAAATTGCTCGATGTGAGGAATTAGCCCGAAGCCTTCAAACGAAGCAGACCAGAAGAGCATGGAAAAGTAAAGTCTGACTAAGTGAATAGAAAGGACAGTAGGACATGCCCTCGGTAAGTTAAAATGCAACCGTTCGATGACAAAATCATGAGTGAGCATTAACTCACTTGTTCGATAACGTAGATACTGTAAGCCACTTGTTGAAACTGAAGCATAGAGTGTAGACGATGAAGTAAAATGCGTAAGTGCAATTCTCTATTCCGATATGGAATTAGAACGGCTATGTTTTGTAGAGCATGACAGGTTGTGGGCTTCCATGAGCCACCACAGACGTTCGGATGGTGTCGGAGAATGGTCGAAAACGACGGAGCAGACATCAGGTTAAAGTTGACGAAATCCACCGTTCTATCGGGATTAGGACAGCATCGATGCATAAAGTCGGACCCGGTCACAGGGCAACCGGCAACATCGAGTAGAGTCAGAGGGTGAGTAATGATCACCGTTTGTGGACGAGAGTAAATAAACAGAAAAACGACGAGCAGCGTGATGAGGATTCCCCAAATGCGGGCGTAAGAGGGCTTAAAGTGGGAGCGCATTGGAACACGGAGGTGATGATAAAAGTTCCGATCAAAAGCCAACCGTTAAATCAGGTGACGGACGACCACTTCGGACATGAAGGTATCCAACTATACCTTCTGTGCGGCAAATACATCTATCATTCTGCTGAAAAGAGAATAGGCATTTGTAGAGCTTTTTGTGGAGGAAAAAGTCAACAATGATACCTGAGTGCTACAGAGCCGTGATTAACGAAAAACGACAAGAAAGTTTATTCACAATAAAAAGCTAACAAAAAAACAAGTTTCTGCATCTTTTCACTTCTTAGGTGGCCAGGTGATTCCGGAGTCTAGACTGTAAGCCACGAGCAGTATGACTGGCTTTTACAGTAATTCTAGCCCGTGTGGACTGGACATTAACGCGGTGCAATTTTTTCCGATATTAATAGATGGATTTGTTAGTGTTTGTCTTTTAATTTGAGAAGTCCATCAGGACCAGACTGGACCATAAGATGGCGCGATGGTTGGTGTGCCTCAATGATCCATTGAGCTGTGATGGGTGGTACTTTTTGCACCTTCAGAGCCACTCATACCAGATTGGTCAACGGTTAGAGGCCAGACAAACTCAGTCTCCTGGATTTCGAGGTGGGGGTTGGAGTAGGGGTGGCTCCTTAACCTATAAAACGGGCTCTCTGTAGTCCAGTGCCAAAATCCCCGCTGCCCTGCGGTAAGGTTTTTGAACCAAACGCTTTGGTTGAGAAACCTAATCGTTCTCCTGTCTAGGCCTGGGAAACCACAATTGCCACTAATTGCTTGCGTCTGTTGTTCTACAAAATAAATGTCACTCGTAAAAGCTAGATGCGCGAGGAGCAAGCCGGGTTTCGTCGAAATCGAGGCTGCATCGACCACATCTTCACATTGCGTCAAGTGTTGGAGCACAGCCATGTTTATTGGCGATGCACCGTTGGCGTGTTTCTCGACATCAAAGGTGCTTTCGATTCAGTGGATCGATGTACCCTTTGGGACTGTCTGCTGAGGAAACGTGTGCCTGATAAATATGTAAACATTATCAAAGCGCTGTATGCACATAACTCGGGCAAAGTAAGGCGTTACGGCAAACTTTCGCCGCCATTCAAAATCTCCAACAGTGTGAGACAAGGATGCCCGCTGTCAGCTTTCCACATTAACTTCACCGATGACGAAGTGATGGGAGCAGCGTTCGCTGAACACGACCTACAGAATGTGGAGCTACTTCCTGGTGAGCCGACTATATTACCCTCATCTATGGTATCTGCCAAACGTGCCAAGCAGCTCGGGACAGATTAGCACCGTCTGTCAATCGTTTTAGGCTATGTTTTGGTTCATCGAAATGTAAAGTCCTTCTCCAAGATTGGCAGGGACTCACCATTGGGCTGACCCTTGATGGTGATAAGCCAGAAGCCGCATAGGAATGCAAGTACCTGAGCAGCTATATTAGCACCCGTGGGATAAAAGCTGAGATTACGAACCGTATAGCAAAAGCTCGAGGTGCTTTTGCCAATCTCTGCAACCTGCGGCGCCGAGGTGTGGTCACTCTAAAAATGAAAGGTTAAGTTTATGATACAACCATCCGTCCAACCCTAGTATACGGTTGTGAAACCCGACCCATCAGATCGACATACATAAAGAGGCCAACTACATTGGATCACTGTTGTCTTCGCAGCTTAGCTCATGTCTCGTGGAAGCACCGCGTGGGCAGTGAATGTGTCCGGCGTCGCGTATTTGATGGCGCTCATTCTTCTTTGAAGTTTACGCGTGAAACTGCTTTCTTGGAGATTCTGCTAAGCAGACGGAAAGCATATTACGAGAAGTTACTTGGATAAGGCAATACACGAAATCTCATGGCTTCGTATCTCTGGTGTACAAAGGGAAGTTAGTTAGTTGCTTGCATTATCATGCTACCAACAGCTGCAGCCCAGAAACGTTGAAAAGCGAAGAAGACTTCGTTCTCACGACATTGAAAGACAACAGTTATTTCGTGGATTTCATGCGGAGACACACTGTGATTTGTGACCGTTGAGAAACGATAGTGACAGTGCCGTAAAAAGATGTTTATCTCACGGTTTGTCATAGAAGATACCCTAGTAGAGTTACTGAACAGGATAGTAGAGTTGGCGACATTTTTGAGAATCGCACATCAGCACTTGTAGTCTTAAAAAACTCCCTAATGTCTCCATCTCTAGCACCAGCGTCCATCAGATACAAGGCCCTCAAAAAAGATCAAATAGACACATTCACCACTACCACTAACAACATCGTACGTCGTCGTTGCGTCCAACAAAAAGTATTATTTTAGTAATTCCATCCGATATTCACGCGCTAACTGTTCGATTGGCAGACAGCCTGCAAGAAAATCCACTTCAAGGAAATCTGTCAAACGTGTCTAAGAAGCAAATTTCTAGGGAAACGCTTTTAGTCTCCTACGCAACAACTGCAGCAACTCCTTAGTGCATTAAATCCGGTTTAAGGAAATGGAAAGTGGTCATCAGTAGTAAATCAGAACTGATGCATTGCTGCAGTACAAGTATGGCAACCTACGCAACGAAGAATAATAACAGGGAGGGAAGGTGAACCTACCGTAAAGTCTAAATGCCCGAGGTAAACACCCATGGTCAAGGTGCGAGGCCGAGGTTCTATTCTACGGAAGCCCAGTGTCATTAGGACAAGAGAGCGAAAGTTGGGTACATGGCGCATTATAGTAGGCTTGCCTGACCGAAGGCTGAGCTAATTTCTCGGTTGCCAATCGAGGGAGACATTTGGTTCGCGTCAAGGTCAAGTTTATGGAAAAACGACAGCGTACCAAGGCATGATCAGAGTCGACGTAAATACTGTAAAATGAGCGGCAGTCTAGGATGGAATCATGCCACCCATAACCTGACAGTGATCTATTTGGGTCAATCGCTAGCCAGCAACAGAAAAAAGTCAAGTGGCACTTCGACGCCAATTATATCCAAAAGCGGTGCTACTAGGGAACAGCTAATGCTTCGCACGCGCTCCGTTGACCGTCTGCTCGGAGTTAAGCCCATAATTATCACCCACATGAGTCCAGGTGACCTACTTGTGAATGTATATCCCCTGCAAGCACTATAGTATCTGAGCTAGTAGTACTGCGTAATAGCGTGTTCAATTCGTAGTATAATGTGTCCTTGGTACCATCAGAACTGAAAACGGTGGGAGCAAAATTGGAAATCACACACAAACAGCGTCTTGTACTACTACGTGAATCAACTCAGTTCGACGTGGTCAAACGGGTTACACACAGGGCTGCTCATGGGAATCAAAGCAACCATCGATGACAGTCTTGAAGCTGAGAACGATGCCTACCCCAGCTTGATTCGTGAATGCTGCATCAACGTCGCCAGATGCGTGCAACCAATAGCGAGGGGACAAGACAGGCACAGTTACTTCCACTACCACGTGAGGGTCATTGATCCTAGTTTTGAATATGCAACACACCTCAATACCCAGTGTATCCAACGTGCGTGCGAGTATAGCCTGTTGACCTAATTGTCTTAGAGTGCGAAAGTTGAACGTCGCCAGGGAAACGGAACAGCGTGGCCTTATAATGAACTCTTGCTGATAGGCGTCCAGTGGATAGTGCAGGAAGGTAGCTGCAGATGGTTCGACTCCAGTGGCATTATGGCTGCAGCCAATTAAACTGGGAATTACAGAAGGGGGTTAATAATGGGGGTTGAGATGGGAGTCAGAGAAAGAGATGGATAAGAAAGAAGAGAGACGCCAGCAGTAGCATGTCTTAGCTTATCAGTCCTGCTGTATGCAGCAGATAAGGTGACCCTTGATGATCTGCGCCACAGGCAATGGAGTTTGAAGATATAGTCGTGATCGTACATGGGCTGATAGTGCCAAGGTGCCCAGACCTACACAAGACGATGATTAGGGTCCTTGGCTCAAAAGCCTGTCCGCAAAGCAGCGGGGAGGTGGCAATGACTTAATTTTCCAGAAATGGACGCCATCCCATTTCAAACCCCCAACGTGAAGGACCAGCAGACTGTTTGTCTGAGCTCTAACCATTGACCAACCTGGTAGGAGTAGCTCTCAAGATGCCCGGAGGCATCACCCAGTATAGCACAATGGATCAAGGAGGTACGCAAACTGTCGTACCACGTAAAGTTTCAGTCTCGTTGAGATGAAGCAACCAGACCGATTAGGCGAGAAATTGTCATGTAAGAAATTTAAAGCAGTCAGTTCCCTTCAACAAGTTGAAAAGCAAGGAAAAAAGATGAAGCATAGTGGATACACGTAGTTGTATTACCTCCTCAGCACCATTAACAATATACGATATGCACAGATATAGCTAACAGTGGGTGTGACCAGACTAGCTTGAGGTGCAGAATGAATGAAGAAAATTCACCCAAACGTTCAGGACAGCTTTAGGCTGACAAATAATTGCTTTTGGACGTACAGTACTGGCTTCATCAGGCTACTGGAGACAGCCTCAGTGAACCAAAGAAAGCGGAGAGTAGCGTGAGGTAACAACTTTGAACACTGAGCTTAGCTCTGTCCAGTGACGCGAGACCAATAGATGTTTGCTTTTGGAGGAAGCCGGCGGTCTAAGAGAGCACGGAATTCAAAAGGAGCAGGAAATCTGAACAACTTCATGCCCAACCTATCTTTATTAAAAACATCACAGCTCCGACTTCATTTAAGCATAGTCGCTGATTTTGTGATCTAGTCAAATAATCGACGCTTCATCCCCCGCTGCGCCTAGCACATGCAACCCCAGGCTGACCTTTCCAGAAAAAACTAATGTAAGTTGACTTTCACCGATACAGCACATTTGACTTTCCCCGAGCTTAAGGATGCTATCTGCAACATTACTCTCCTTATTCACTCCGAACCGCCTGCTTCCCTTTCACGTACAAGCGACGCTTTAGACGTAGCGGTACGAGACGTTCTCCAACAACATGTTGGTGGGCAGTTGCAAACCCTCACTTTCTCCTCTAAACGTCTGCAACCAACGAGATCCAGTTGCAGTACGTTTAGTAGAAAACTACTCGCTATCTACTCAGCTATCCGTCACTTCTGACACAGATTAGAAGCAGAAATTCGTCACATCTAGACTCATTCAGATAGTCGTCACACGCCCGGAAAAGCACTGTACGCGCGTTTC